TCTTCGTGGGTTTATTTCATTATGCTTGTATCTATGTAGGCGAAGAACCCTTGTTGCTATTGGCACACATGATCTGGATACGATAGAAGGCCCTTTCACATACGAGGTATAGTCCGATGCTTCTTTTTGTTTGTATTATAATTTCAAACACGATATGCAGCTTAAACTTTCCGTTCCCAGTGTTTCTATTACCACATGAAATCAATTTAAGAACCTGGTTTCCAAGCAGAATAATGTTTCTCTTGTTTTCAGCTCATACTATTCTATTCCAAACCTCCAATATATTTTGATTTGAAAGTAAATATTAATAAATTTATGCTGTGTAATTTCCAGGCATTACCACCACCGGAGATAAACTTTATTCCACTGAAACAGGTACCCAAACTTTTATGTTTAGGCCTTTTCTGTAGCCTCTATTTGAGATTGATTCGGTGCTACTATAGGAGTCAACTTCACAATAAGTTTCTCAACTAAAATGTAGTGATGCTGCAAGCAGTTTCTTGTTGCTATGACTAAAACTAATGGCACTATATAGTGTTTGGTATGCACATTTTTCTAACACTTCATACAAGCTTAAATGAAAATGCATCACTTAAAATCTGTCTGTCGAAGAGCCTAAGACTATAGGTGTTATCTTGTGTCTCGTTCATCAACTTTTTACCCAATATCATAAACTTATATTTACAATATCATGCCGAACTTTTGAAATCTGCTATTTTTCAGACGAAGAACTTCAGAGCTGATGAACTAATGCAATTTTACAAGGTGAGTCCTACAATTGATTATACTTCATATGGTTCTTTGTCCTAATTGCCATAAAATTCCTGTCATGTACAGTTGGATCCATTTGTTTATATATATATATATATATATATATATATATATATATATATATATATATATATATATATATATATATATATATATATATATATATATATATATATATATATATATATATATTCGTAACTTTGTCTTGCAGTCAGATATGAAATTGAAGAAATTCTTGCATATAATTGAGAATTCGCCGGTTTTCCCAGTCATATATGATCGTAGCAGGTAGTATATTTTTTTTTCTGAAATCAGATCTTCACTTTGTCCTAGACTTATACATTACTGTCACCTTAAATATGACCAGGTATTCTCCTGCTCGCTCCAGAAAGTCTTATGTCTATGATACCATGACTTATCATGTTTTCAGATATTGCTAGTGTTATGCTTGATGATAATCTTACAAAACCTATGCATTTTTTTCTGCAGAACTGTTTTGTCATTGCCTCCAATTATTAATGGTGCACATTCCGCCATTAGTTTGAAGACAAAGAATGTCTTCATTGAATGCACTGCCACAGATTTGACAAAAGCCAATATTGTTTTAAACACAATGGTAACAAGGAGAATAGAACCAGTGTTGTAATTCTTGGAATGTGTTTTTTCTTGTTACTCATTGTTTGTGTGTTTATGCAGGTAACCATGTTTTCAGTGTATTGTGAAAGGAAGTTTGAGGTGGAGCCTGTTGAAGTCATATACGATGATGGAAAATCATACATTTCCCCTGATCTGTCTCTTTACCAAATGATGGTGAACTTATCTTACATCAGCAGTACAATTGGAGTCTCTCTGCCAGCCCACGAGGTATCATATCATATTCTGTGTCTTGATTATTGTCAATTATAGCCCCTTTCAAGTTGATGTTTGTGAGTTTCTCCCTTCATTTGCATGGCATCAAGGTATACCAACTGTTGCTCATTATTGTTATATACTTTTCAACAAGTTATATTATATGATACCTCAAGGCTGCATCACTACTTTTGGTGTCTCACTTGGATAAGTTCTTGTACGCTATTCTCTTGCCAGGTGTGGTTTACGTACTCCTGGGCACTCGCACCATAACATTGATAACTAGATTGTGAATTGAATTGCAGGTTGCTCGCTCGTTGAATAAAATGCAACTGCACGCAAAGCACTCTGTACTGGAAAATAATGAAACTGGTTTCACTATATCTGTTCCTCCGACAAGAAGTGACATTCTTCATCCTATTGATGTGGCTGAGGTACTTACTGTCTTTGATGTCTTTTTATGTCACAGAAGGTTGTCTTTATTGGCCTGTTTTTGTACTGATGCGCACAAGTATTCTCTTTACCCCCACTTCTCTAGGATTTCGGAATTTCTTATGGCTACAATGAAATCCCCAAAAAAAAAATTCCATCCGTGAAGCCACAGATATTGAATCAGTTCACTGATCTTATTAAAGAGGAGGTAGGTATCGTAGAACCTTATGCATTTCTTGGTTTTGCTGTTCATTTACAGTCTTGATTTTAATCTGAAATTGTATTTTTGCCTTTCAGATTGCCATGGCTGGCTATACTGAGGTCTTATTATTTATATTATGTTCATACAAAGAAAATTTCACCATGCTTAACCGGAAGGATGACAAGTCAACTGCAGTAATAAATGGAAATCCTCGTACTGCAGAGTTTGAGGTTTGGTTATTCTCATTTTGGAACTGCTTTTCTCCTTTTCTCTATTTTCATAGATTCCATCTTTGGTTAATCTTATTTTAACTTTTGCAGGTTTCTCGCACAAGCCTTATGAACGGAATATTGAAAAGTATTGGGCATAATAAAGACCACCCAAAACCAATTAAAGTATGAGAACATTTACTATTCTTGCTGTTATGGGTTTGTATAATCATTGCAGACTATAAATTGATCTTTTGCTAAACCAATTTAAGATATCAGAAAATTTAATATGCTTGTTGTTTTGTATATAATTAGCTGAACAGATCTCTGTCGCCCGGATTGGCCAAAAATTCCGATGAATAAGAAATCCGATGCTGTTGACTTGTTTATGTTATAATCATGGAAGTAAAGGTCTTGTTAGCTTTGAGTAGGATTTTTCAATTACTGACTATGTTAAGTACTAATTACTTGGTAAGAGAAGTTTTCCTCTGCCCTTTCTTTTACATATTAGCAATCACATAAATTTGAAATTGATCTCACATTTGCCATCATGTCTTGTCTGATACTGTCTCTTTCTTGCATGGCTAATATCAGTTTGTGAAACTGTCTCATTTGTTAGTATACTTGTCTGAGAAAAAAATACTTGATGTTATCATGTGGTTTGGAAATGTTGCCCTGTTGTGCCTTGTCTTTCTGCATTACCTCAGTTCTTCAATTCACATATATATCCATTTTCTTTGGATTTAGATCTTTGAAGTGGGTGATGTGGTGCTATTAGATGAGACGAAAGATGTTGGTGCATCAAATCGTCGCCATCTTGCAGCTGTATATTGTGGGGTTACCTCCGGATTTGAGGTACATATTTGTAACTTTTTAATACACCTAGACAACTCATTTACAATATGCTTTTATTGCATGTAGTTTTAAGATAGGTCCTATGTGATGATGGTCTGCATGTTACATCTTTGTAAAGATTTCAACATCTCGATTTCAATTAAAAAGACTTGGGTGTTTAACATGAAGTAATTGTGATTGATATTGTTGTTTTTTCAGCTGATACACGGTCTTGTGGATAGAGTAATGGAAGTGACTGGAAATCCATTTGTATCACCTGGGGATAAAACAGGCTACTACATACTCAGTTCAAATGTACGTTTTATATTTTAGCTTTTGAAAGCGAACTGTATTGTATCATCACTGTATGCATGTCTGCAGGAGCCCGAGTTTCTTCCAGGTAGACAAGCAAGCATCATATACAAAGGAAAGCAAGTTGGCACTTTTGGAATCGTGCACCCACAGGTAGCCATATCAACTCTTTTTTTTTTTTTTGTGATTTTCAGTTTATAATTTACTCCTTTGGGTTGGTTACTCACCATACATATGTTATATATCATGTTTGTGATCTCAGGTGTTGGATAATTTTGGCATTCCAGACCCATGCTCCTATATGGAAGTCGACATCGAGAGTTTCTTGTGAAAACACCAAAAACCCCCCCTATTCATTCATCTAGAGAAAAATACCATTTAAAATTCCTACTCCCGTCCTCTTTTGTCGTATTTAATCTCAGTTATTTATTTGAATGAAGAAAGTAAATACCATACAAATCTTGTTTCTGCTTTGCTTTAGCACTTGGATGTGAACAATAGTTTTTTTCTCCTCTTTTCCAAATATTCACTGTTCGGGACACAAAGAATACCCCTCTATATATATACATACACAAGTCTGAATACTCGTCACGACATTCTTAACTATGATTGATCTTTATGAAATACTTTGGAATGTTCTCAGTATAGAATCTCAAACTACATATACAGATACCTCGCAGAAATATCAAAATTCTATAATAACAATATACAATTTTGGTGTCACCCCTAAAACATGCATCCCATTAGTATGGGGGGCAACAAATGAACTCAACACAATCAGCCATAGACAGCTTCATCAACATTCAACATCAACAACCTGGAAGATCCAACATAACTATACGAGGAACCATCGCTTGGCCTTGGAATATACGCACGCTGACATATATCTCGTATTGAGGCCGAGCGAATTTGGTGAAACTAAATACGCACCGTCAGATCTTTGGGAAGACATATTCCTCAAATCCACAGAGCTTCGAGTTGTACTCACATTATTAGCCTGAGCCTGAAGAGAAGCAGAATTGTGGTTATAAGATGATTCCCCAATTTGTAAGGCTGATGAAGAAACTGACAGCAATGGTGTCGATTACTTCACCGTTACTTGTTCAAACGGTAATTAACTAAATGGACAAGATGAAATTTAATGTAATTGAATACCATGGAAAATAAATGCTTAATAACGTAAACTGTAATACCATAAATAAGATGAACCTTATAAGAATATCATAGTTATTCAAGATTGATAATTTTGGTCAAATATTAACCATATAATTTCATGATTTACTTTCATCAATTAATACAATAAATTGCAGTTTCCTTAACATTATTTTATTAACTTATTTAGGATGTTAAAGTTGAGTATAAATCATCTTGATCCTAACCCATTCACCTCATTCTTCCTTCACACATTTTGTTATAATTGCATCAAACCACGGTACTTACCTAATATTTTATTTTTTCGTCTTAATGTTTTGCAATTGTATTTTATTTTTCTTAAATTTTCGGCATGTTCATCCGAAACATGTCATTTGTTGTTTATTGTTTATTATTTTATCTATTGAAATATATACAAATATATAGGCTATGTTTGTTAACGTTTTCAAATTCTTTTCACACTTTCCCCAAAATGAAAATTATCTTTCTACACTATTTTCAAAAACTTTCCCCAAAACAAATTCAAATATTTCTCTCTCTAACAAACATGATTTGACCGCTACAGTGAAAATTGTCTTCACTAAAATACAAAATCAAATCACTTTATCTTTTAAATTCTTCTTCCAAAATACCTTTTTCCCAACACATTTCAGACATGATTTAATTTGCTACAGTACAAATTCTTCTAACTCATGTTTTTGTTTTTGTTTTTTGAAAACCGATGGATGGTGTCTATGTCATATGCGGCGACATCGGCAAGGGAGAAGTCATGTGACGTTGTATAGCCTGCAAATATATGATCCATATTTATTGTATGGATGTATTTTTACAAAATTTTACTTATGTTTTTCCATCTTTTGATTATACTTGCGATGATTGTAAACTTTATTTCGACAAAGAAAATGTTAAGGTTACTGAAGTTGAGCATATAATAAAAACAAAGTAATTCGAGTATTTATTGATTTATAATAGAGATTCATATATACTTTATTCAATGTATTTGAATAAATTTTATTTTATATTTATAGCGTTATGTAACAATAAATTTGTTAGTTCATTAACATTCAAATTATTTGTCTTTCTTTAATTTCTTTCCCCGTGTATTATTATGTTTTTACATGTACTTTCATTATTTCCTATAATGAATTTTTTTATGTTTATTTAAACGGGGCAATTTGCTGTAGGTCTCTCCATATTATAATTTATGTGTATAAATCCAAGTCAAAGTTTCCATATTTTAATAAATTAATAATATATATTAAGTCAAATCAAATCAAATCCCAAAAAATCTCTCTATCAAAACAAATTCTCAAACATCTCTCTTCCAAATATTAACTAATAAATTAAATTAATTCTTTAAAAAAAATATACTATTTATTTTAAAATAATTAGAAGTTTAAATTGGATTAAAACAATAAAATAATTAGAATAAAATAATTAGAAGTTTAAGTTGGATTAAAACAATTAGAAATTTAAGTTGGATATGCAGTGAGGATTATTCATTTTCTGGAGTGAGGGTTTGAACAGCAGCAGCACAGAGGAGGTGTTGGTAGTGACAAAGCAATCAAAAGTTCAAATGACGCGCATCTGTGTAACATTGGCTTGGATCGAAACTAAGGTTAATAACAAAATGTATACATATTAAGCTAACAAACATCAATTAAAACAAACACCATTCCAAAATCTTAATAGAAAAAAAAAAACAAGAACAGCTAAAGAAAGAACAATTCAAAGAACATCCTTTTACAACTTCGAAAAATGTCAAAAATGTCATCTCATTTTAGAAAGAAAAAAAACAACAAAATATTCAAATTGCAGCATAAAAAGATATATAGTACTTAAAAACTTAAGCAACAATGGATGGTTTAGAAGCAGTAGAGAGTCGAGATCTTTTCTTAGCCAAACTCTCGCTACGTTTTTCCCTCTGTTCTTTCAAACGACTTGCAAGAAGCTTCTGGTAATCAATAGCCTCGGATTGAGCCTTGGCGATTCTCTTCTTCTTGTCTGCGATTCTAGCTCTCTTCCTCTGCAATGTAAGTGGAGTGACCAGCCTCTGAATCTTCGGTGCTTTGCTTATTTTCTTGCCTGATAAATCGGAACATAAATAAAATTAAGTAAACCAAGACATATACAAATTGAGTTACATATAACCGAGACACTTTTTTTTTAAACGGAGGCAGCAATAAAATGAAATACTGAAAACCCAATTCATTATTGTTATTTAATTGGTGAGTTCGAAACTAACCAGACTTGTTGGTGAATGTACGGCGGTAAGTGTTGACGTATTTCCTGACATCATCATCCTTGGAGAGGTTGAAGAGCTTGCGAATCTTCGAAGCCCTCTTTGGACCACGCATCCTAGGTTTCTCGACATCGGTCAAACCTGGGAGATCGTTGTCTCCCTTTTTCACAATCACCAAATTCAATACAGACAGATCAGGGCTTACGATGCAACCTCGAACGGACTTCCTCCTTCGCTCTCCGTTTCTCCTTCCGTACCCTCGGAAACACGGGGTACCTGTTTTTTTATTCAGGAAAAAAGTCGAGTTATCAAATATGAAAATAAAATTGGAAATTAAAATTAAAAAAATGAAATTATAGAAACCTCGGTGGAGCAAGAGCCTGACACGGCCAGGTGTCAAGACACCCTGCTTCATGGGGAAGCCTTGCTTGTCGCATCCTCCCATAATCTTGAAAACATAGCCCTTGAATTCCTGAAATATTAATTAATTGAAATTATGTTGTTAAAGGATAATGGTTGTAAATATTAAATAATTGACTTGGTGGGAGACGAGCATACCTCGCCCAATGCATCTCCGTTGACTTCCTGGGAGATCCTCTTATCCCAGAATACCCGACTGAAATCAAAAGAAGCAAAGGATATACAATTAAACCTCTATAAATTAATAGAGTCAGGACTAGGGAAAATTCTATTAATTTAGCAAATCATTAAATTATCGAGTTAATAGTTTAACATGTTTTCAACGAGTCGGGACCAAGAGAAACTATTATTTAATCGAGGTTATTAATTTATCGAGGTTCTACTATTGTATCATTAGACATGCTATGTTCTCATTATGGAACGACAACGTCGATGCTGGATGCAGTAGACTGCATCTGGTTAATGGTAATAAAAAGACAAAGGGAAACTAAAAATATTGAACAAACGAAATGATACGATGAATGATTGATCCTCTTTGAAGAGGGAATATAATTTAGTAAATGAACACATGTCTTACATTTTCAAATTCTATGAACGAATTGTGGTCGAGTAATTAGGGGAAAAAAATTCAATTAACCTTGAACAGTGGCTAAACTATCTGCAAACTAAGCTGATTTACCAAACACAATTCCATTTCAAACAATAATCGATATCTGTATATATATATATATATATATATATATATATATATATGTAAAGTAAATATTCAACCAAGGAACAGCTGGAAATGAATTACCCAGTACAATCGAACACTATTTCACGATCAAAAAAATAAAAAATAAATAATCGTCTATTGGACAGCTAGAAATGAATTAGCCAAAAACGTGTAAATGATCAAACAGCAGATGAATCAATAGCGACAAAATAAAGAAAAGAATAATTAAATAAGAACGAAAGACAATTATTACATACAGCTTCAGGTCATCGTCAATTTCGAGCTTTTTTTGACAGCCGGTGGTCGGATTAGCAATGTTGAACTGCAAAAAACAAACAAAAACCAAAATCAATCAGATAAATTTGTGTCAGAACATTTAACAAATTTCATGGTTGTTAGTGAGTGAGAATTACCTTCATCTTCTTCGAAGTGGAGGATCGAACACAGAGAGAATGCCGCAACTTTGCTAGGGTTTGGACGTCCAACTGAGGTTTGAAGAAATTCTCAAATATATATATATGTTACGGACCGGGCCTTGTTTTGTTTTGGGCCGGACTTACTAGCCTGGGCTAAGATCAATTTTATACTTTAGATATATGAATTTTATATTTTATAAATATAAAAAGATCAATTTTAAATAAATAAAAATGAGTAAGAGAAAATAAGATCAATTTTAAATAAATAAACATGAGTAAGAGAAAATACCAGGGCTTCTCTAGAACGTTACATACTTTCTATAAAATATAAAATGTTACATACTTTCTATAAAATAATTTACAGCATTGATAGAGTATTCTAGAAATTTATTTCCAATACTAAGATTAAATTGGCACTCATGATTTATTTTGAAGGCGAAGGTTGCACTCTTCATTTAGACCCTATAAAAAGAAAACAAGTTTGGTAAAATTAATTTACGGAATTAAGTTGAATTAAAAAGTTAATTCAATCAAAATCAACTAGTTTACAATCAAGAGTTGGTGTCTTATCAATTTTATTCTATCGTTACCATTGTTAAAGTCTCGATATAGTAAAATTTATTATCAGTTTCATAGAAGATTCTCCGTATATTTAATTTGGATATATAGATAGACGATAAATATGTGAAATGTGAAACTAGCACTTGAACAAAATGTGAAACACTAATGTTTGTCGCACATGTGAAAAACAATTTCATAAATGAAACTATTATTGCCGAGAAATTAAAAAATCTTCTATGTGGAGCGATTGCAAAGAGGCGATCTCTAGCTTCTTCTGACAACCAGTGGTTCGGTTGGGCAATCACTCCCGCTTCTTCTGACAACCAGTGGTCCGGTTGGGCAATCACTTTCTTGTTTTTATTGTTTTAAAAAAAAATTGGTTATATAATGTAAAAGTAGTAATAATTATTTCTTGTTTTCATTATTATTTAATGTTAAAATAGTCGAAGGGGAGGACCGAACAGAGGCCGCTCTTTGCTAGGGTTTACGTCGAACGGGGGTTTGAAGAAATTTTTTGCAGTGAAATAAATATATATGTGTTACGGGCCGGGCCCTCTTGTTTTGTTTTGGGCCAGACTTACTAACATGGGCTAAGATCAATTTTATTTTTTTGGGCCGGGCTTACTACCATGGGCTAAGATCAATTTTATATTTAGATGAGTAGTATTAGTTTATACATATGAATATTGAAAGATGAATTTTATACTTATTTTATAAATATTGAAAGATCAATTTTAAATAAATAAAAATGACTAAGAGAAAATACTAGGGCTTCTCTAGAACGTTACATACTTTCTATAATACTAGTAATTGTACCCGTGCGATGCACGGGACAACAAATTGCATTGTTTTGATGTTGTAAGAATATAAACAAACGTTTGATGTATCGTATGATCAAAATTCTATTATACTGGAACATCATTAAGTATACTACACACAGAAAAAAGGAAATAACTTTAC